TCTTTACTCCGTCCCTACCTCTCATACCTCTCTCCTCCCCAGGACCCTCTGTTACCTTCAGAAGACACCTGGCAACAGGAAAGTCGAGGTAAGATATCATAACAATAGGCTAGAATAGTGTAGAATTAGCTACTGCACTATAAAGTTAACAACGCTGTAGCTACTGCTGCTAGCAAGGTTACTAGGTTAAAACTAGTACTATTTATAAAGTAGATATTATAAATTAGATTTCTTTAACTATTTAATTATTTAATATAGTTGTTGTAGAGTAAAATGTAATTTAAGTATAGAAAGTTTATTAAAGTAGACTATTTACTTGTATAGACTACTTGCTTGTAAAATGCGTTATATTTTAAACTAAGCAAGTTATTACTAGAAAATAAAATAGTATTCATACTTAAATATTAATTTAGTAACGTACCTAACGGGTTGGCCGGCCACACGGGTTGGCCGGCTACTTTTGCCAAGCCCCTACTAAAACCACCCTATTCTCTCGCAAAACAGCCCACTTTAGCCCTGTAAAAAGTAATATAATATAAGATATTATTTAGAGTCTACTTTTACTACTTACTTACACGTACGCAAGTTATGCTTAGTCTAATTGCACTACCTGCATTGCCTTTAACTTAGCTTACCTTCTTTAGCGCGCACCTGCGTCTTTAGCTTCTTCCTATTACTACGCGCTCTAAACTCCTTTAGAGCAGTTAAATAAGCTTTATTCTTAACTATTAAAGTCTTTTCTGCCTAAATCTGCTTTCTTTTATGTAATCTATGTTATATAGCAGCTTTATTTGCTACTTAAAGCTTTATAATCTTATAGCCTACCTTATTATATTAATGCCTTAGATAACTGTTGTCTACTTTTTATTACCTTACTATATTACTTTTAGCTGTCCTTATCTCTTTAAAGCTATAACAACTGCTTTAGTTAATATCTAGCTTATTATAAAGCTTAACTTGTTAAAGTTATACCTATCTTTATCCTAGATACTATACTTAGCTTTTATATTAGCTACTAGGCAAAACTAGCCTTAGATAACCTCTAGATTTTTATAAAGCGCTTTTTTATAATTATACTTATAATTAAACTTTATTATAAACTTAGAGCAGTGCTTAACCTACATACTAGTCTAGTTTAAGCTAACCTAGCCTAGATTACGCTCTATAGGCAAGAAATTAGCTATATTAGCTACAGCTATAAGCCTAGGGGGAAATCTGCGTGTAATAAGCTTAAGTATATACTTAATAACTACTTTTTTTTTAAGCTTAGTTAGATTTCTTAATTTAGGCTAGCATTCTACTTATAAAGGCTGTCTAGCGCGTTAATTACTTAGTGTTGTGTAAGAGACATTATAAATAGCTATAGCGTGTTATAAGAAGAGTTTTAAGTCTTATTTAAGAGCCTAAAGAGTAAGCTGTATCTAATGTTCTTTAGAAGATTTAATCTAGTGTTGTTGTTAAGGCATTATGTAGATAAGTAGAGTTTAGTAGGGGCTTGGCAAAAGTGGCTGGCCAACCCGTGTGGCCGGCCAACCTGTTAGGTACGTTAGTACTATTATGTAAATTAATCTCCTTAATACTTTATATATTAAAAATCTATTAGATTAAGTATTAAAGTAAATATTAGCCTTTTAAAGTATAATATAGTAATTACAAAAGCAGTAGTAATAGTATTATATAAAGTAGTTTTTGTAACAAGGGAGGCACAGCTAACTACGTAGCCTTTTCTAGCTTATAGAGGTTTAGGCTACACTAGAGGCAACCGCTAGTGTTAGTGCTAGCCCTAGCATTATCTATATATATATTATACTATGCGAGAAATACTTCGCTTAAGTATTCTCGTGCGTATCTTTTAGTATAGTAGAGAAAGTTGTATAGTATTGATTTTACAAGTAGAGCGTCTACCTCATTTTAGTTTTTTTTCTAAAGGCGTTCCCTCTCTAAGACTCTCTCTATACGTAGGTAGAGCTTAGAATAGTAAGAGGTTTATAATAGTAGTATATAAAGCAACATTTTTCTAGAAGCGTTCCCCTCTCTAGAATCCTCTCTATACATAGGCAAAGCTTAGAATAGCAAGAGGTATATAACAGTAGTAGATATAGTAATATATATAGTAGTATATAAAGCAGCTTTTTTTCTATAGGCATTACCCCTCTAGGACCCTCTCTATATGTTGAGCTACTTGCAACACAACTAATGTCTACAAGGGATTGCTGCAAGTTGCTGCAGTTTGCTGTAGTTTGCTAGAGTTTGCTACAATTTCCTATAGTTTACTGCAATTTGATGTGGTTTGCTGCAAGTTGCTTTAGTTTGCCGCAATTTGCTGTACTTTGCTGCTATTTACTTTATGCTTTTCCTAATGCTGCTAGCTAATCTCGTACTAATACTCTTAGGCATTAGCCTATTATATTTAAACAGCTGTTGAAGAAGCGAAACTAGCAGTTGTGTAAGCAAAACAGTTAAGAGATCTGTAACAGCAGCAAGAAGAACCTTATCCTAAAGGCTATCATCTATAGAATTAAGTAGGTGAATAGTTGCAGGCGGTGCGGGAGGCTGCGATAGGTTATGATCGAGTCTTTGCGGCGATAGAGAGAGGTGGAGGCAGCTAAAGAGCAAGATGTTCTTTACCTGCTAAGTAAGGCAGCCCTAGAGCTCCCAAACAACCTAAGAAATTCCTGCTAACACAACAAGCTACATAGCTGCAGCTCTACAACTAGAGCTTTAATTCAGGCTGCACGTAATTAGAAGTTGCAGCATACTATGCACAGCGTACTATACTTTTTAGAAAGTTAATTAAGAACCTGCTTGTTAAGGGATTACATGTACTGCATTAATATTTGCAGTGGTAGAGGTAGAGGCAGCAAGATGTTCCTTAGCTGCTGAGTAAAGCAGCCCTAGAGCTCTCTAATACGCTAAGAAATTCCTGCAAAGACAACAAGCTACACAAGCTACAGCTCTACAACTTGAGCTTTAATTTAAGCTACACGTAATTAGAAGCTACATTATACTATAGAGTATATATTATACTTTTTAGAAAGCTAATTTAGAACCTGCTTGTTAAGAACCCGCTTGTTAAGTTATTATATATACTATATTACTTAAAGAAATGGTTGTACTAAATACATTAAGCTTAAAAAAAAGCTAGCGTTCTTAGAAACTAAATATATAAGTACAGCAAGCCTAATTAATAATAAAAATTTATTAAATACAAAGTAGCATTTATTAAACAATTTTTATTTAATGTAAATTCTTGTTACAGTCTACGGTTGGACCAACGTAACCCCGCCTTGAACGAGTTCATGCGAGCCCGCGTGCTTCCACGAAGCAAGGATTGTAACAATTCTTTACTTAAGAAGCAATTCTTCTTATTTTATTATAAAATGTTAAAAAACTCTTTAAATATATTTTTTATTAAACTTTAATTAAAATGCTATATGAAGATCTTAATTAAAAACGAAATATTTAATAATTAGTATGTTATATTCTTAGGTTTCTAATACCGCTTTTCTAAAGTAATAAAAGACGTTATTTATTATAGAAAGTATAGTATAATTTTATAAAGTAAGAAAATCTTAGCCTAAATTCTTTACATTGTTCTTTGTGTAAAAATCAATTACTATTTTATAACTATTTTAAAATAACTTTAATTATTTAGTAGTTGTCGCGTACACTAAGAGCCTTGGCTGGGGCTCGGAGCCTGGGGCGCGGCTCGGGATCTGGAGATAGCATGTTCCGAAGCTCGGTGTATATAAGGAGAGCTTTCAACTCTCTTAGGTAGCAGAGTCACTTCATCCGATCTTCTAAACAGCTACTGCCAGGCTATTTGATCCTCTACAGTAGTAACTATTTTATTTTTTATAATTCTTAAGTAAAACCTTTTCTTAAGTAAATGTAATAAAGTTTTTTATACAACTTAGTAAGCTTTAAGTGTGTATAATAATGCTATAAAATTTACTAAGCACATAAAATGTAAGGCTAAGATAGCGCTTACGTGCAACAGGTATATATACTATTATTCTATACACAAGATTAACTATTAGTTGACTATTCACACTATTTAGTTGTATTAGCGCAGTGGTATAAAGCTTTGTTCTTACACTAAAAGCTTAAAACTAGTTATTTTTAAACTTGAAGTTTACTTTTTATATTTTATTTTTTTTATATTGTATATTATTAGAATACGGTCTAAAAAAGAAGGGCTTTAATTGAAAAATAAAAAATATAGCTATTATATTAGATATATTAGTAGAGAGCTTTCTAGTCTATATTATAGTTATTTTAAAGACATTTAAAATGTACAACATAAGACATTGTTTATAAATACATTATTAGCAATAATAACATTAAGTTTTTATATAATACTATAGTTCTAAAAGAAGCGGAAGGAATTGTTAAAGCAATAGAGAATAATTAACAGCTTATAAACTAGATTTCTAAGAACAATCTAAGCGGACTTTAGATTCTAAAATGCTTTTAAAGACTAAACCTTTCTATTGTAGAGAGGCAGTACCAATTTACGCGGTATGGATTGAGGTCTTCACTTCTCCCTGGAGGACTGTAGAGGACGTTGCCAAGCAGCCCAACCGAGTCTGGTGGAAGTACCCCGCACTGGCGTTCCAGATGCCCTCTATTCCTACATTAGTTGGCTAGGTTCCGAACTTCGAAGAGCACTGTTGGACTACAGTATCACAAAGTTTGGGATCGCAATTCGGAATACTGAACACAGTGTTAGTGCAACTCGAGTGGCTGAATCGAGTGGCTGAAACAAGTATTGCTGTGTCACCGGATAGCGCGGGGCATATGAGCTGAGTTACGAGGCTGGGACGAAGCGTACAGGGTATTTAGGTCTCCTTCAGCCTGACTAGTTTTCTTTCCGCAAACCTTCATTTCTATTTAATGTTGAAATGGCATCGTATGACCTATCAGCCCTTCGAAACGCCCTTGACGGGTATCCGACACGGGAACGAAGAAAGCCGAACAATCGCGCGGTGAGGCAGTATCTTCTGAATAAAGGTGTATCCGAACCGATCGCGAGAACAACGTCTATGAACGAATTCTGCTACTGGACTGAGAAAGAGTTAGATGATATTTTTAATGACTTAGATGTCCTCCCCGGCGCCGCCCTGGGTAGGCTCGTGTCCTTTCATGTCCAAGGAAGCATGGACACTGCGAATTTCGTTAAACCGTCTTTGGAAGACGTTCAGGACTCGGCAAGCAGACTAGGCGCTCTCTGTGTCAACAGACAAGGGCAGTTTTGTACGAATCCGAAGGAAGGATTTGCTGCATTATCACATGTCTGGTCCCAAGGGCTCGGAGCTGATGACGATAATCGAGGGTTGCATAAGAGTTTGTTGAAGCAGGTTTTCGACAAGGTCGAACGGCTTGGAGTCCGCTGGGTATGGACGGATAGTCTTGCGATTCCCGGCGGAAAACGAGCCCTCAGTCTACTAGAGGAAGAGCTGAAGGGAATGCTCATCAACGCAATGGCTGACGTTTACCGCCAGGCGAAATATGTGGTTATATTCGACGCACTCTGCCTACGACTGAACTCGAACGACCCTGTCAAAGTCGCCGCAGTCAATTGTCTTGGCAGTAAGTGGACTCAAAATCAAGTAGTTTTGTGCTAAGGAATGAATAGCTTGGATGACTCGGATGTGGACGTATCAAGAAATTAAACTAGCTATGAACACCCTTATCGCTACCAAAAGCGACTTCGTCAGTTTCACTAGCCTCGTCGAGCGTCTGAAGAGTCTTGCCCTCATAGAAGCAGGTGAAGACTACAAAACCGATGCACCGGGCAAATACCCCAGCATTGCTAAGACCTTCGCCCGGCTCCAACGCAATGACGAGATCGGCATATCGCTACCAGATGTCGCTATCGGGTGCGGGTACCGCGAAGCATGGGACCGTCTAGACTATGCCCGGGCGTTGTTCCCAACCATGGGCGTCGAATGGAAGACAAGTTACGACATCCAACAAGCAATGAACAAGCTGTATACAACCCAGAAGTATCATGCAACACGGCTTGCATTATTTCATGGTCCTCCGAGAGCTTCGATTCCCGGATGGGCGCCCTCAGTCTTCAATGGACTTGTTGATTGCAAGATAATAGAAGCCGCGACGTGGAAGCCGCGCGGGATGCAGCGGTCGTGGATGGCAACGAAGGTGCTCTCCATCATACCCAGCAAACCGGAGGCTCTTGTTCTAGCGCTGGAGAGCGATTTCGCCGAGCGAGCACTCTCTGTTGGATTTATCAGCGAGCAGACACAGAAGGAAAGTCCGGAAAGCGTGGAACTTTTCAGACAGGCTGTCCGGGAGGGCAACGCGTATCTTCTCGCTGACGAACCGCTCGTCCCCAAGCGTCATTTCTCCCGAGTCGGTCTGCTCGTCGAACGCTTTACCAGGGCTGAAGATCTCGAAGCCTGGGTTTGCCTCACGCTGGCGGTGGGCGAGACGGAAGAAGCGTACAAAGCGGAGAAATCAGAATGGCTTCTGCTGCACGAGAACCCTGTTTCGAAAGAGCTGTTGAGCGGGAAGCAATCCACTGAACTGCATTACATGATGACACAGAGCACGCGGCCTGAAGCGGCGCATGATCTAGCGCAGATGCCGCTCCACCAAGCGGTCAATGACGGAAACGTTGACGACTGCCGGAGATATTTAGCTCACATGAACGTCAACACGGTCGACTCAAGAGGCTGGACGGCACTACACGTTGCAGCCGCGGCCGACCAGAGAACCCTCTTCCCCGTCCTCATCGAAGCAGGAGCAAACATCAATGCCTTCGAAATGAACGGCCAAAGCCCCTTGTCGCTGGCCGTAGACAAGGGCCACATGGACGCAGTAGTAGAGCTTATCGAAGCCGGCGCCATTGTCAACGCATCGCACAAGAACGGCTGGTCGCCGATCTGCACCGCTGTGATGGGAAAAGGCCTGGAGATGACCAACCTGCTCTTAGCATTTGGCGCTGATCCATCCTCACCAGATGCGGGTGGATGGACGCCTCTGCATTTCGCCATCAGCGACGAGAACACCGACGACGGCGTGCTGGATGCTCTCCTCGAGGCGGGCGCAGACCCCAACACTCTCAGCCAAGTCATCCTCACCCCCCTCGACGTCGCCGCGCGTAAAGGCAATGCCTCTGCGATCCGCAAGTTACTGAGCTACAAGGCTGATCCAAATGTCTCTGGCCGAGGTCTAGATCCGCCTCTGTACCACGCCATCGCATCCGGGAATTTGGAGGCTGTCAGAGCGCTGGTGGAGGGGGGCGCCAGATGCACCGCCAGGTTTAAGGATGGATGGACGCCGATGATGGTGGCTGCGAAGCAGGGCGACCACGACATGGGGCGATTGCTCCACGCAAGGGGCGCTAGCTTGGATGACTGCGATGGCGAGAGCCTCACGCCGCTGCATGTCGCGGCTTTACATGGGCACCGCGTCTTCTTCAAGTGGCTTGTGGAAGCGGGTGCGAAGCAGGACGTCCGGGATGCCCGCGGGCAAACGCCGTCTTCGGTACGCAACGGGTTTTGAGCAGTGAGAATAAAGAGGGAGGGGCACCCAAACCTTGCGTTCAATCCATCTCATGGCATACACACCACTCCTCTCCACACAGCATCATTTTATTCAATGCTCCAAACACCACTTACTTCGCACCCTCCTCCGTCGTCTTCAGCGCCTCCTGCCGCAGCTGATTCTGCTTCCCCAGCACCCGCAGCCTATTGGGCCGCTCCATCTCCATCATGTTTTCCCAATTCATAATGCAACTCAGTGTGCCGTCGCGGTTCACGACCATCGGCCCTAGATATTTTAACATTGCGTGGACGTGAACCCGCATCTACGTCTATCTTATAGGCCCTGCTCCAGCCGCCGGGAGGCTAGGTGCGTCACTCATTAAATGAGATTCCCCACGAGTTCCGGATCACATTTTTGAACGTTTCCTATACATGGTCTGGAGAGGGCCTTGAAGAAATCCGCATATAATAGCGAGTTCAGACCCTGTTGTCCTATTGATTGCGTTCGAATCCTGGAGAATCAACTCACATCGTTGCGGAAACACTCTGGGTCTAACGAAGCGAGTTTGGGCACGTGTTCTTTTAGTCCTTTTCCTATATAGTTAGCTTAGAGCCCTCTTAAGCTTCTAAACCTAGACCCTACACCTTTGATTTGCCTACTAGTTTGGTTCTCGCGACCTAGTTGACGACTCGCACCTCTGTCGCACGTGTATCACGCGATACCATACCCATGTACTGCACTATTCACTCACTAGGACTAGCTCCTTTCACGTACAATATGTAGTCAGCCCAGGGCTCTCTCTCGCTCCTTAGAGACCTTACAATACACTGGTACAATTCACCTTGTTTGGATCTCAATACCTTGTCGACTCGCCTACCCTATGACCCCTTCTCAGCTCATGAGAGAACCTCTTCATGTGCCCTCTATCGTCAATCAGATCTAACCGTGCGATAGGATTATGTCAATCCGGGGCTCACTGAGGCAGACGACGCTACCCTCCAACTAAACGTCAAACGAGAAGCGCCGACCAGGCTCCCTCCACTACCTGCCCACGCCGGAGATGACATAGTTTGGTTCTCACCATCTAATTGACGGGTTGCAGCTCCGTGCCCTCCATCATCGATCAGCTCTAGCCATGAGATACATATTCCACGGTAACATAGTACATGCGACTAATCCATAGTAAATACAATGGGTGTAGACGGTTTCAGAAGAAGATCGGCAAACCTTTGAAGGGTAGGTTCTCTAGAAACTCTCCCAAAAAAAAAAAAAAAAAAAAAGCCGCTAAATGAAGGGTTATCAGAATTGTAGTTCTAAATAATGCCTGCTTCAACCCCAGTCCAGAACTTTATAATCCCAACCTGGTAATTGGCAGATACAATTTGCCCTTTGGCGACGTTCCATATATGCACGGTGTTATCCTCGGAGCCTGACGCCACCTTCCTACCGTCCGGCGAAACCGCCACGCTCAAGACCGAGTCTGCGTGGCCCTCTAGCGTCTGCTCAACTGCTCCTGTAGTGATGTTCCATACCCGTACTGTCTGGTCGCTATGCCCTGATATAACCTTACCGCCGTCTGGTGAGAACGCCACACTGTAGGCCATACCAGCATAGTCTTCTAGAATCTGCTCGGTTTGCCCTGAGGCCACGTTCCATACCCGCACTGCACTGTCATATCCTGACGCCACCCGGCTTCCATCCCGCGAGAACGCTACGCTCCAGACCTGACCTGCGTGGCCCTGCAGCGTCTGCTCGACTTGCCCTGTGGCGACGTTCAATATCTGTACGGTGTTATCGTCAGAGCCTGACGCCACCTTGCTACCGTCCGGCGAGAACGCCATGCTCCAAACCGAGCCTGCGTGGCCGTCTAGCCTCTGCTCGACTGCTCCTGTAGTAATGTCCCATTCGCGCACTGTCTGGTCGCTATGCTCTGATATCACCTTACCGCCGTCTGGAGAGAACTCTACCCTGTATGCCCAACTAGTACCGTCCTCTAGAATCTGTTCAACTTGCCCTGAGGCCGCGTTCCATACCCGCACTGTACTGTCGCCAGATCCTGACGCCACCCGATTTCCGTCGGGCGAAAACGCCACACTCCAAATCCTGCCTGTATGGCCCTCGAGCGTCTGCTCGATGTGTCCCGTGGCAACGTTCCATAGCTGCACTGTCTCATCATCCGACTCGGACACCACGCTCTTTCCGTCTGGCGAGAGCACTACGCAGCCTACGTATCCCCAGAGCGTCCGCTCGACTTCTCCTGTGGCTACATTCCATATCCGAACGGTCTTATCATCAGAGCCTGACGCCACCTTGCTACCGTCTGGTGAGAATGCTACGATACCGACCGAGCCTATGTGGCCCTCGAGCGTCTGTTCGACTTGACCAGTAGTGACGTTCCATACTCGCACGCTCTGGTCCGCAGACCCTGTCGCTACCCTTCTGCCATCCGGAGAGAATGTTACACCGCTGACCGAGGCCGTATGGCCTACGAGCGTCTGCTTAACTTCTCCTATAGCGACTTCCCATACCCGAGCGGTCTTGTCGGCAGATCCTGATACCACTTGACTTCCATCAGGAGAAAACGCTACACTACTGACCGAGCCCGTATGGCCCTCTAGTATCTGTTCAACTTGCCCTGTGGTCGCATTCCATACCCGCACAGTCTTGTCAGCAGACCCTGACACCACCCGACTTCCGTCCCGAGAGAATGCCACGCTACCGACGGAGGCTGTATGTGCATCTAGTGTCTCCCCGATTTGCCTTATAGCCGCGTTCCATAGCCGTACAGTCTGGTCGCCAGATCCTGAAGCCACTCGACTTCCATCAATTGAGAACGCCACTGTACCCACCCAGCCTGTGTGGCCCTCGAGTGTCTGCTCGACTTGCCCCGTAGCAACGCTCCATAGCCGCACAGTCTTATCTTTAGAGCCTGACGCCAGCTTACTGCCGTCGTGAGAGAATGCTATCCCAAAGACCTCGGCTGTGTGGCCCTGCAGCGTCTGCTCGACTTGCCCTGTGGCGGCGTTCCATATCCGCACGGTCTTATCCTCGGAGCTTGATGCCACCCTGCTACCGTCCGGCGAGAACGCCACGCTCCAGACTAAGCCTGCGTGGCCTTCCAGCCTCTGCTCGACTGTTCCTGTAGTAATGTCCCATATGCGTACGGTCTGGTCACTATGCCCTGATATTACCTTGCTGCTGTCTGGTGAGAACGCCACGCTGTACGCCATACCCGCATGGTTTTCTAGAACCTGCTCAACTTGCCCTGAGGCCGCGTTCCATACCCGTATTGTGATATCCTCAGATCCTGACGCCACCCGACTTCCATCCGGTGAGAACGCCACGCTCCAGACCGGGCCTGCGTGGCCTTGTAGTGTCTGCTCGAGTAGACCTGTGGTGACGTTCCATAGCCGCACTGTCTCATCATCTGACCCTGACACCATCCTTTTCCCGTTCGGCGAGAACGCCACGCCCCAGACCCGACCTACGTGGCCTTGTAGTGTCTGCTCGAGTTGTCCTGTGGCGATGTTCCATACCCGCACAGTCTTGTCAGCAGACCCTGATGCGACCTTGCTGTCGTTGGAGAACTTTACGCTCCAGATCCAGCCCGTGTGGCCCCGGAGCGTCTGCTCTAAAGGGCTCCACTCTTTTGGCATTCTTGGCATGGCACAGATCCAAAGAGGTATTTGGTCCTTGAATTGTCCGCGAATGATGCTCCCCTCCGGTGCAAACATGAGAGCCGAACAATATATTTGAAGAGGCGCAGCCTCGATGATAGATCGGTTGTGTAAAGTAAATCGTTTTGCATCATAGATGAATGGACGGAAGCGGGAACTTTGATCAGCCTTTCTACATTAGTTCGAATTCACTTAGCCCAAGAAGAAGTTCCTTACTATAACGGTAGACTCCAACAAATTTATCGCTAGAATGCTTTCGGATGTCTTCCGCATCAGGCTAAGAGCTTCAAGCCAGTGGAGGAAATGCTTCTGAAGGAATTGGTGAACTTGTTCGTCGTCATGAAGTTGGACATCGCCTTGTCTAAGATGCTCGACCCAGTAGAGACATGCATACTGAAGCTCCGGAGGGATGCATTGCTCAACTAGACTGTTGCTTATATCAGTCACAAACACACCGGCAGCACCTACACCACAGATATCTCTTTTAAGACAAGTGTGCATAAGCTGAGTACACCTATTAAATAACGTCCGGTGCGCTTGCTTCTTATCCACCAGGAAGTTGGGATCGCTGCACCTCTCATTATTCAGCAGGAAGTCGCGGAATGAAGGATGGTGCAGACCGAGAGGCCGGGTGTGGTCCTTTGGGATATATAAAATGGCATATAGATCTTCTAATGTCTGATCAATGTCCTCTATAGGGGTATTGAGTAGCCTACTGAGTGAGAGAGCAGAGAGAGGAGAAGATAAGACTGCTATACTCCCCAGGACGTTTCTTAGCATGGCATATAACTCTCTTTTCTCATCAGCTGTTTAGCATAAAATAGCTGTGTGTAAGTAGCTAAAACTTTATTATAGTATCTTCTTAAGTCTATTTACTTGCCTTAAGGCAGTATAACTAGCTCTAACTTAAAATTTTAGGATATAGCTGCCTATACTCTAACAAAGCTTCTTCTGCTCTTAAAAGTAGGCTTTAGGTATTAAGATTTGTACGCACACAATGCCCTCTTCTTCTACTTACAGTATTAGGTGGTAGAGACAAGTCCTACTTTAAAAGTTAATTTGTTAAAGAAGTAGACACATTTAAAGTTATTATTATCTTAGGTTTTTATGTAAGCACTTTAGTAACAATAATTAAGCTTATAGGAGGGCTTAAAGTAGGGCTTAGCACGCAGTTTAAATGTGTAGTACTTGTTTTTTTGTAGGTATTGCTTTACTGTATTAACGCAGATTGCAGTTGTTGTTTTTCTAAAAGTAGCAAGTACTTTGTACGTTTTAAAAGAAAACTGCTTTAAGTGTTGTACTAATTGTCACTCTGCGCGCTTATTAAGCTTTAGGGGTCTCTCTATGCAACAGGCCTTTTTCTAGGGCTTATTCTTGCATTTTTGCAACTGCTTAAGTATTAACTTAATTAATAAAATTAGAATAAGAAAAGTCTTCTATATTTTTAAAAGGCTAAAACTAATATAAGAGAGCGCCTAGATGCTAGTAAGGGTAGGCTTATTATATTTACAGCAAGCAGTTTTAGGTTAGAAAGGCATAGTAGTAGTGTAGAGAAGAAGGAGAACAAGTGGTGCGGAAAATTTTAAGGTGTGTGGGTTGACCCGATATAGTAAGTTAAGCGAGAGGATGATGACTTCTTAGCACCTATTGTACAAAAGGATATTAGAAAACTACTAAGCTAGGTAAGAGGAGAAGTGCAGCTAAATACTTAGGGGAATAGAGGTACAGCAGGGACTAGGGCGGTGTATGGCTGAGATGGCGCTTACGTGCGACGGGTATATATACTATTCTGTACGTAAGATTAACTGTTAGTTGATTATTCTCACCTTTTTAGTTGTATTAGCGGAGTGGTACAGAGCTCTGTTCTTACAACTACTAGTAACATAAAGGCTTTTAATTGCTTTAAGCAGTAGTTTAAGCTTTAGAGCATTAAGCAACGCAAGTAGAGGACGCTAGACAGCTATTTTAGGCAGGTAAGATAAAGCTCTTTAGATGTTATTAGAGTCACACGTGACTAGTTTAATTGTATAATAATCTACCATCCTAGTTAAAAAGCCTTAGAAACATTATATTATTATATAAGAAGTTAGCTGTATTAGCTACATCTTTTATAACTTTGTAACGATTCTCATGAATCGTTCCATCTCGAGTTTCCCGGAACCTATCCGAAGGGTCCTTGTATCGGCCCCGACCCTGACCTGGCCCCGACCCTGCCCTGCCCCCTGCTGTTACCCCTATTCCTCTAAGTATTTAGTCGCACCTCTCCTCTTAGCTAGGTTAGTAGTTTTCTAATATCCTTTTGTACAAGGCCTATAGGTGTTGTGACATTCTAAGGTTACTAAGTCCCCACGCACTCTCATATGCCTCTAAGTGGATTCATACCGCATTTAGACCTATTGTCTTGCCTGTGCCGTTACATCTTTTATAACTTAAAGTAAAAAAGAATTTTTTTATAAATTTAAGTTAAATATAACATACTTTACATGTAAACAGCCTACACAAGTAAACAGTCTACTATAATAAAATTTTAGCACTTTGTAATGTAATTAATAACGTTATTGCTTCTATAAATTAAGCTTTAATATTCTATTAAGAAAGAGTAAGTACTTTTAGATCTTTTAGGTAATTTTGAAATTTTAAGCGTTTAAGCTACTAACGTTAGAGTAGTCTCTAAGGCTACACTTACTTGAAATCGCAACAGAAAACCTTTATTATTCAATTACATAGCTAACTTATAAAAATTAACTAATTAAATAAAATCCCTCATTTTACACAACATAACTACATGGTAAACTATAAGCCGAATCTCGGCCTCTATAACCTTCATCCGGTCTATTTTAGCCCTATGGTACATGTAAGAGCAAGCCTGGAAGTGTATGCGTCGGACATTGGACTGACCTGGTCGACCGGGATTTGCGGAGCTATGCGTCCATTTCAGGTGTGATCGAGGAATAGCATTCGGGTGCGCTAAAGCCTTGCCATGGCGATGATATAGGATCTACCTAGGCAGGGACCTCCATTGATACCCTGAACGCCTACTATGCTTCCTTCGTGACAACGAGATTGCAGGGGACATCATCTGACACATTTTGCATCGTAGAGGAGTTCTCGTGAGTGGACTCATAGTGCCGGTTGGCCTTTTTTTACACAAACCGACACTTTTCTCAACAGAATGTGTCTGTACAGTCAGAGGACAAAAGTCTGTGCTCATCACTTTTTCTCCACCAAATCGCGAGGCGAAAATGAACCAACGCGCACTTAATTTTATATGTAAATACATAGTTTTTTTAATAGTAATAATTAAAATATATTTAATACTGAGTCTGCCAGCCATGCGCTGCTTGTACAGCCTCAATCTATTGTAGCATTAACCAAATTAGTGTACAGATTAGTCCTTTATAAGACAATTATACTATATTTTTAGGGTCTTTTAAACCTAGCAAAAAAGGAGGTAACTCTTATAAATATTAATTACATGTGGCTAGCTAGATCTTAGCAGTAAATAGGTAGTGTTGTGGGTTTTCTATCTCTTAATTATTGTGTACACACACTAACGCAACACGCTATATTCCTCTATTATTTCCTAATAGGAATAGCCTGCCTTATATTTTAAAAGAATTAAAGCCCTTGTTGCTAGGGTAAGTTTATGACCTCTTCTGTAATTTCTGCTTATTTCCTGGCCAAAAGAGCGTTCTATGGTGGTGTTGGGGGTGGTGGAAAGTGGGGTTGTTTGTGCGCGTCGCGCGTTTTGGTGTTGCGCGCACGGTTCATGGGCACAGACTTTTGTCCTAGTACTGTACAATGGCTCACGCTTTCAGCTGGTTCACGGGAGTGAACTACGGCAAGTTTGCGCATCCCGACAAGGGTCTTGTCAGTGCGGCTTGGCACTCTCCCCGCCGCAGCAGCGCATCCCTGCCGGACCGTAAGGTTGAAGCTATGGTAAAAGGATTGCCGTGCGGCTACAACGAATTCATTTGGGTTCTGTAAAACAATAGAGACAGTGATGACTTGGCGCCATGGCTGCTTGTATGAAACAGAAGAACCCTGCAGTTGCGCCCACTTCTAAGGTTGCGTTTGGTGTCGAACAAAAGCACCCATAATTCATTTTGCCCCTGCATCTGCTTGCTCGGTCCTGCAGTGAACTTTGTTCAGCACATCATAGCTCACGGCGGCTCCATTGGCCGGTTCAGATGCACGATGCTGCATAATGCTACGCTAAGGCGCCACCGGCGCGAATGATTCCTCCGCTCTTCGGCCTCGACAACGTTTGCGACTGACTGAACCTCCTCCTTGGCAGTTCAACTCTACTGTCAGCACCGCGCTTCTTCGATACGATAACGTCTTGACAGCCTACAGGAGCAAGAAGCTGCTGAGGATGTCGAGGAAAGACCTCCGGCTGCTTGCGCTCGACGGCGGCGGTGTCCGCGGCTTGTCCTCGTTGATGATTCTCCAGCAGCTCATGGAGACGGTCAACCCAGATGCGCCACCGAAGCCGTGTGACTACTTTGACATGATCGGCGGAACAAGCACTGGCGGGTAAGTCGTCATAAGGGATCGAGGTGGACGGAATCAATGCTAAGCGGCTAGGCTGCTCGCGATCATGCTCGGCCGGCTGAAGATGGGCATTGATGAGTGCATCAGCGCCTATCTCTCACTGTCAGATCACGTATTCCAGAAGAAGAGGCACAGAGTGACAGTGAAGGGCAAAATCCAAGGCCGGTTTGACTCGGATGCACTGGAGGGGGCAGTGAAGAAGATCATGAAAGAGCAAGGGCACCAGGAGGATGTACTCCTAAAAGATGCCCCAGATTCGGTGTGCAAAGTGTGGGTTACCTTTAGTTCTTGTGCGAAGCTCTATCTTTTAGTTTAGCTTACGACACCCGCTAGTTTTTTGTGCGCGACAAGCAAAGAGACTAGTGAAACAGTTTGCCTTACGAGCTACAAATCCCCGCGCGGCAACACAGACCTGTTAAATAGCGTCAAGATATGGGAAGCTTGCCGTGCAACATCGGCGGCATCTTCCTTCTTCGACCCGATCGCGATTGGTCGGTTCAAGGAAGAGTTTGTGGATGGAGCAACGGGAGCGAATAACCCAGTGATGGAACTATGGAACGAGGCTCAGCTAATGTGGGGAGTAGAGCCGCTAGAAGGCAAGCTCCAATGTCTCGTCTCAATTGGCACAGGCATACCTTCACTGAAGCCGTTCCCAGACGATGTGCTTCATATTGGAGAGGCCTTGGTTGCTATTGCAACCGAAACAGAACGGACTGCCGAGAGGTTCCGACGAGATAAGGCATACTTAGACGACAGTAGCCGATACTTCCGATTCAATGTGGTGCGTGGGTTAGAAGATATTGGGCTCGAAGAGTCGGCGAAGGCAAAAGAGATTGCGGCGGCGACACGGCGGTACGTTACATCTCAGGAAACGTTCAAACAGATGCAGGCATGTGCAAAAAATCTGCGCCCTCGGGACGACGAAAGCTCGCCCGACCCCTCCAAGGATCCCTTAGCAGCACTACTTTCACAACTTTCAACCAGGAATAGTTCTCCATTCCGCCAGGAGATTGTTATGGCGGCTAAAGATGGTGATGCGGATTTAGTAAAAGCGCTCTTGCAGAAAGGAGCTGACGTTAATGCAAAGGGCGACTTGGACAACCTGACTCCTTTGTGGTGGGCTGCCTACAAAGGTTACCCAGAGGTAGCTAAAGTGCTGATCGATACGGGCAAGGCCAAACTCGACGAGAAGGACGGGTATCTTGTGACGCCATTTTTTTGGGCCGCCCAAAACGGTCACGATGCTGTCGTTGAGCTACTGCTACAGACTGGCAAGGTCGACGTTAACGTAAAGAATAAGATGTGTCGGACACCGCTATCCTTGGCCGCAGGGAACGGAGAGGAAGCCTTGGTTAAGAGATTGCTGGAGACGGGCAAAGCCGACCTTGATGGGAAGGACAGAATGAACCGAACACCACTAGCGTGGGCGATTGCGAAAAAGCAAGAGGGAGTGGTGAAGCTGCTGCAGTCCTATGGTTCCTCATAGGTGATGCTTCGAATGAATAGGCTTATCCCAGCTGTGTTCCCTCCACTCTACCGGCTAGTCTTCTATCATACACAAATATATTAGTCACCGCTTCTATATAATTGTTTAGACCGGCTTTGATGGGATGGAGAATTACCTTTGGATACGGAAATTGCAGTCTTCAAACTAGAGTCAAGCATAATTGTGTTGGCGTTTCAACACGATTAAGTCCTCTATTAACTCTCATACGGTTAGAGAACGAACATTCGCCTCACAAATTAGGGCCAGCACTCCTTTCTAGCCAAATATCTGGTAATAAGTTAGTCAGGCCCGCCCACCTACCTAAATCCACCACCTTTAAGTTTCGAAACTATGCCTAGAACATGGAGTCGGTGGAACAAGATCCGCGTAGTGGCTGAGGCTCAGGCTGGCTGCATATATAAAGTTGCCATCTATTTGCCTAGGGTCTAGACCTACCTCTTGCATGAGCTGAGAAGGGGTCATAGGGTAAGCGAGTCGACAAAGTATTGAGATCTAGACAACGTGAATTGTACCAGTGTATTGTAAGGTCTAAGGAGCTCGAGAGAGCTCTGCGCCGACCATATACTGTACGAGAAAGGAGCTAGTCTTAATGAGTGAATAGTGCAGTACATGGATATGGTATCGCGTGAGACACGTGCCACACTACCTAACCTCTGCTAACATCTCTTCTATTTTTAATCTTAGAAACGTCTCTCTTTCCAATCTTATTATTTTAGCTTCATGCGCAAATGTCTGCCTACATTCCTTATGATATCTAATCTTAAGGACTATCTAACAAGAGGAACAGCTAGTCCTAAGCCCTCTGCTTAAGCAACAGTATAGCAATAACAAAAGAGCATGCAAGCTACGTAATCATAGTGTTTATTAGAACGTAACTGTTACTGTTAGTAGTGTTTTTTAGGTGTTACTAATAGTAATAAAATTTTATTCTTATAGAAAAAGTAAATTAAAATAGCCTTACTAACAGTAATAGTTACTGCTAAGTTAATTAATAGTAAAGCTACTATTTAGTGTAGTTACTGCAGTAACTAGTGTTTTTAGAGGCTTTAGAGGGCTTAATTTTAACATAATCTTTCTAATATAGTTGCAGAGATTGTTTAACTTTAAGTAAATAAGTCCTCTAGTAATTGTAACGGCGCAGGCAAGACAATAGGTTCGAATGCGGTAGGAATCCACTCAGAGGCATATGGGAGTGCGTAGGGACTTAATGACCTGGGAATTCCATTAACACCTATAGGCCTTGTATAAAGGATATCAGAAAACTACTAAGCTAGCTACAGGGGAGAGGTTAGAGCTAATACAGGAATCCTTTAGATAGGTTCTAGGCAACCTAAGATAAAAGAATTTATAAGAATTATTACACTACTCCCCCCTCTGTAGACTACTAGTCTTTATTAGTAGTAATTAGAGTAGAAGTATTGCTATTATATTCTCTACCTTCTTAAACTAAAACTAGTCTAATTTAGCTAGGTGTTCTTGCTCTAAGTATTCCTTTGCGCTGCTAGCAGTGTCCTCTAAACTAAACGCCATGTGTGCGCGCCTGTTCTAATAGTGATCTGTATAGATGTCTAACCTATTAATAATTAAGGCTTTACTAATTGTTCCTTGCTATCTATGCAGTTATTAGTCTTAGGCGTGCGTTTAGTAAGGTAACATTTAAGTACTATTAAGGGCGCCTAAAAAGTCTCCTGCTACTAGGGTAGCAGAGGTGATTTAAGGCATTATTAGAGGTAATTTAGTAGTTAATTAAGGTCTATTAGGACATGTTGCTATAGATTAACTCTAAATTAAGTATAGTATAGCTTAGCTAAAGCATATTTAACTCTAAAGTTAGAGGGTAGTTAGTTAGACATTAGCAGTTGTCTCTAATTCTAATAAGTTATTAGTAGTCTTTAAGTTTCTACTTTAGCGCCTCTTTACAACTTTTCTAAAAGCAATTTTAATTATAGAGGATAGAAAGTTCTAAACCTAAAGGCTTTAGTAAATATAAAGTCTCTAAGATTCTGTTTATACTAACTAAATAATTTAATATAACAGTGTATAAAAATTACAAGCTAAACTAAATTAGACACTTCTTAGACTTAGATGTAGTTATATAAATAATTAATATAATATTATAATAAGGCTATTACTAGCAAAAGTAAGTTTTCTAATATAATGTAATAGCGCAGGCAAGACAATAGGTCTAAATGCAGTAGGAATCCACTTAGAGGCATATAGAAGTGCGTGGGGACTTAAGAACCTAGGAATTCTATTAACACCTATAGGCCTTGTACGAAGGATATTAGAAAACTACTAAGCTAGCTACAAGGGAGAGGTGAAACTAAATACATAAGGGAATAGGGGTAGCAGCAGGGGGGCAGGGCAGAGTCAGGGCTATGTCGAGTCAGGGTCGGAGCCGATACGGGGACCCTTCAGATAGGTTCCGGGCGACCCGAGATGGAACGATTCATGAGAATCGTTACATAGTATGGCCTCACCCAACATGTTTAGAGGTTACATGACCTGTGCTTTGTATATAAGCATGAATCCTAACAAGCAAGGCTTGGCAGCGATTCGTCTCTCTTACAATCACACCTGAGATCAATCAAGCCAGCTTAATAGCTTAATTAGAAGATTGATGCCAAGCTAATTTAATTAATCTAGCTAAACCTTATATAGAAACGCAATTAATCTAGCTAAGCTTTTTTATAAGCTTAATTTAGATTAATAGCTTAATTGCCTTAAGTATATAGTAGATTTTAAAGATAAGGTAGCTTATAAGGCAGCTTAGATAGCTATAAAAGCTCTATACTAAACTTTTTTTAGTGTTGTTTACTATGTAGTATTGTGTAATATCTAATAACTCTGTGTAACTAGCAGCTAGCGCGTTGTCTTATATTATATACTCTATCTCTATTTATTACCTATAATGCTATATACTTCTAGTGTTGCAGATCTATCGCTGTATACCTTACCTTATTGTCGCCCTTATGCCGCCCAAGAAACGTATCTCTAATAGCGCTCCCTTGCCTAAAAAGCGCATGCGCAGCACTGTAAGCTAGCCTATTATAATTAACTTACTGTTATCTTAATCTTAGCTATTTACCCTATCTCTGCTGCCTTTATATACACATACTTTTAAGTTATAATTGCGTAAGTTATAGCCTAAAGACACTATTATTACACCTACTAAGAGTAGTAAGTAAGCTATGCTTACTTTATCTTTTAAAGCAGCTAATAATACTGTAGATAAGGCTTTTAACACTTATCTTAAAAATAATTATAATAGCATAGATTAAAATTATCTTAAGCTGTATATAAAGCCTATTATAACGCACTAATATAAGTAAAGTTAGATCTATTGCTATAGCTATTATGTTGCTCTTTTTAAAAATCTAACCTATATATTTTTTATCTGCTACTAGTGTTTTAAGCATAAGCTTATAAATATTAGTATTAGGATATATAATACAAGCGTAGCAGTCTTGTTAGCTGCGCGCTACCTTAGCAAGTAGAAGCCTAGCTATAAGCTTATAGCACTAGGTAAAACTTTAATTACTAGTGTTTATAACACGCTTATTACTGTAAGAGTCTTTATTTTATAGGTAGTAGCTAATTAGATTAACAGCTTTAGTAAGCAGCACTTTAGGTTTACTATAGTTAACTAGCTTATTATAAATAACTACTTTATCTTTAAGTTTAAAACACTAGCTTTTTAACACTTAATTACTATTGCTAACCTGCTTACTAAAGCAGTGCTGTAGAAGAACTATAAAAGTGTCTTTTAATACATTATATAACTATTTAACTAGCTTAGGCCCTATATTATTTATAAGCTGTTATAATTACTTAGTAGGATTTATATAAGCTTTAATAAATAGACAACAAAAGCTAGTAAGCGTAGGTTCCTTAGTATTATTGCCTACTACATTAACTTAAATAGCAAGCTCTAAGACCTACCTATTGCGCTGCCTTAGCTTATAGGCGCTTACACTAGTAATTAACTAGCTAAGGTTATATTATTAATATTAAAGCAGTTTAGCATAAGCAAGCGCACACTTAGTTACTTTATTTTTAATAATGCTTTTAATAATAACACTACTATTACTATAATTACTTATAAGCTTAAATTTAATTCTATTTACTAACGCCTTTACTGTAGCCCTTATATAATTAATCTAATTAGGCAGAGACTGCTCTAGGGCAGAGATATAGACTTATATAATAATAAAGGAGTTAATAAGCTTACTAATAAGGTAGCATTTATAAAGGAGTAGCAAAAGCATAGACCTTTAGGTGTACTTTTTAATATTATTAACTATATTTACACACTGCAGCAGTATAATCTCTTTAAGAAGGCGCAGCGTACAGCTTACTATAAGCTACCTTATAACGCAGATAACAAGCTTATAATACTGTAGCTAATTAAGCTAGTAGTTACATGCTAGAACTTATACTTTAACTATTTTAAGTAAGCTATAAAGCTTACGCTAGCTATTAACGCGTATGTAAACACCTACATATAAAATACAGTAAAAGAGGATATCTACGCTAACTTATAGGGCAAGGATTAGCCTGCTGCTCTATAGTAGATAAGATTAGACAGCCTTACAGCTACTAATTAAGCTATTATTACTAACTATATAAAGGTTTTTAGGCTACTTAAAAAGTGTATAAAGCGCTTTAAAAAATGTAGTAAGTATAGCTTTAGTATAATTACTAAAGTAATCTTAATATTTAAGTTTTTACTTACTTAATTAGAAGCTTGCCTTCTCTACTATAATAGCGTAGTCTATAACGCTTATAATAAGGCGCTTAAAGATTATCTTCCTATTAATCTACGCGCAGCGCTGCTTAAAGTAAATAAGTACTACGCTAAACTTAACAACTTGCTAGCTTACTATGCTACTATAATACTTTATTTTTACTATAAACACTACTATAATTAAGTGTAAGCTAAGAAGTTTAATTAGCTAGCATCTAATAATCTTAATTTCTAGGCACTATAGGTAGATTATAAGTTACTACTATTACTAAGGCCTTGCTACACACACGCACTAAAGAAACTAAGTAATATTAATAATATAATTAATAGTATTATTAATCCTACACGCAGTAATACTAAAAAGGATAAGTATAAGCAGTAAAAGTGTAAGCTAATTATTAGCAAGGGCACTAATCCTATATAATACTAGTTTAGGCTGGGCGATTAATATTCTAACCTTAGTAAAATAGCGCTTATAATACTTTTTATACTAGCTTTAAGCTGTAAGTGTAAGCGCGTCTTTAGTAAGCTTAAAGATTTACTAGAGCTTTACTAATGCTGTATATTACCTAAGCTACTTGCAGCACTACACTTAGTACAATAATAAAGACAGGCTAGTTTTAGTAGCAGCAATAATAATAATATAGGCTAATTAAAGCTTACTAATAAGCAGATAGACGTTTTGTACAAGCTTAGTAAGTAGGTAGGCGAAGACAACAATCTAGATACATAGGATAACAGCTAAGACTTAACACTAAAAAATATATACAACTTTTCTAGTTAGGAATTAAGCATCTAAGCTACTAATTAAGCTAGCAACTTTCTGCTAAGCTAATTTAATTAATCTAGCTAAACTTTATACTAAAACGCAATTAATTAAGCTAGAAACTGCCAGCTTGCTTAATTGATTAATCTCAGGTGTGCTTACAATACACTCCTATCTTTCTCTAAAAGCTTGCTCTTAGTGCTATCCGTGCTATCTACTATTCTATCTTTATAAAATGTTTAAGTTTTCTTAGAAATCTTTCTTAAGCTCTTTATATAATATCTAAGGCTTTTAGGCTTTAGCTAGCAACCTTTAGTCTAAATATTATTCTACTTAATATTAAAATTTAGGCTGTAATTAAGGTAAAGGTTTTTAGAAAACTTATAAAAATAAAAATTAGCTAGTTAAAGCATAAGTAAAAAAGCACTAAAAAATAAAGCTTTAAAAAATAGCCTTTAACTTTTTAAAGTAATAAAAGCTTATAAAGTAAAGCTTAAAAGTACTTTAGCAAGTAATATTAAACTAGTGCTATAACCTTTAAGTGCTATGTAGAGTTTAAAGAAACTTTTACATACTTATAGTAATAATAAAGGCAATATTAAAAGTAAGAAGTAGGTAAATTAAGAAGTTAATTTACTATTCTATACTAATAATAAATAAGATAGTTAAAAAGGTATAAAATCTACTATATTAGTGCGTGTTTTAACACCTCCTGTTCTACAGCAGCCCTTGTACTACTACGCGCAAAAACGTCCTCTACAAACCTGTTACTAAAACACTAAGAAATTAATTAGTATAAGCAGTTACTGTTGTACATATAGCCTTATTAACTGTATAGTAACAGAAGGCAATTTACTTTTGTTCTAACTGCTAAGAGATTGTTACTATTAGGAACAGTAGGAACAGTACTACGTTCTATTAAACACTATGTACGTAATATGCTACAAGAGCTCTAGAACAAAATCTACAAGTACGCACTCTTTACAAGCCAACACTGTGAAACGGTGCTATGGCAAACCAGCGGCCTAGCCTTTTAACGCCTTCTTGGAGACTTTCGCGCAAAAATGGACAAAATGAGGTAGCAACTAATGCCCAACAATAGGACTGTCTGTAAGGCCTTTAAGCTAAGCTAACAAAAGTGCGAGCGGTCGCCCTAATTCTCTTTGCTTTGTAAAGAATCACGTTGCTAACTATCCTGCATGATATTTTTGCTTAGTGGCAATCCCAAACCCAAAGAAAGAGCTTAGATCTAGGTTGCTAATAATATGCTTGGCTGTATAGAGGGCTGATAAACTCTGTAGTCTGTAGAAGCCCGCTAGTATCTGATAACCCTTTTGCGTAGTAGCTAGTTCAGTAAGCTAACTATTTTTGCAGCACGTCTAAGTTTTCTAGTTGTCTTTCTACTTAAATAGAGTTAGAGCAGCACTGATCTCTAATGCCTAATATCTACTGCGTAAATATCTAGGCCTTTGCTGCAAATAAGGATCAAATGCAATGCATGTACGCTAATCGTATAAAGACATAAGTTTGCACTAAATGAATCCCTTTAGGCACTATTCTAAGGTGAGTGTCCGCTATAGCATTAAGCAAAGTTGACTACGCGCCAACTTTTACTTTCGCACCCTCTATGCCCTTCTGAAGAGTTTCCCACAGCTCTTCATGCCCGTCAAATCGGGCTATGTGCTCCACAGTAAGGCCCAACACAACACCTCCTACCGCAACACCTTGCTAGACAAGCATCTCCGCAATTTCAAGCATCCCCTTAAAGTCAGCCTCCCTAATATCTCCCTTACAATCAAAGTTTTTGAATAGGAGCTGGATCAGTGTCTTAGAAAACGTCCTCTGCCTCAAGTTGCAGTATGTAGCCGCCTCGTTAGGATCCGCGCCGGTATCGAGGAGTCAAACAACTTCCGGAGATATTAGCAGCCTTTCCTTAACATAGTATAAATAGAGCTTAGATAAAGCTACATGTATTGCCTTGCAAGCGACCCTTGAGTTCTGATCACGAAATTAATATGGCCCCTAGGGAATCTCATCTATCAATGTTCCGCTAATATCAGCACTGGCATCTAGGAGAATAGCGGTCATTACTGCATCGCGTCGGTTTACCGCCGCATGTAGAGGCGTGCAGCCTAAAGGATCCAAGTCATTAACATTAGCCCCATAAGTTATAAGCTCCTGCGCTACCGTGTGGTTGCCGGCTACTGCTCCTCAACGGTGTGCGAGGACCCCGCCTGGAGCGGCTGGCTCTGGCCACGGACCGGGCAGAACGGGCCCTGGATTGGGCTCAGAGAGTCGTGGACGAGGCCGCTCGCCGACTATAACTGTAGGTAATGATTTCATTTCTTGTGTTTGATCATTCGGCTCGACTTCTACTTCTACTCTTTGCTCCCCTCCCTTTCTTCTCTTCTTTTGCTCCACTGCCTTTCTTCTTCTCTTCCTTACCAGGACGATTGGCTGGCACCTTCACGTGGTGTCCTGGGTCAGTAGTCTTGCATGAGCTGAGGAGGGGTCATATGGGAAGCGAGTCGACAAGGTAGTGAGATCCAAACAAAGTGGATTAAACAAGTGTATTGTGTATTGTAAGGTCTCAGGAGCTCGATAGAGCTCTGGGCTGACTATATACTGTACGAGAGAGGAGCTATACCTAATGAGTGAATAGTGCAGTACATGGGTATGATATCGCGTGAGACACGTGCGACAAGTAGCGCAGCCTGTTCGCGGGCTGGTCAGCGAAGCCAAGACCAGCCAGCAAGTAGATAGAAATCTGTACAAATGCACTGATCAGGCCATTCTTTGCATCATTCCTTCGCGACGTATTTGGCATAGTGATTCTGAATCAACAACTCCATCCGGCAAGCGCAGATGATGAATTGCATCGCCATGGGACCTGATATCCACGTCGCGTAATGCTTCCTTCTCCAACCGTAGGTAGCAGGGACTAGGGGCAACCTTCTTCCAGGACTCAACAACATTATCACTGAGCTCAAGATTCCATGTACCACGCCATGTAAGTGTAGCCATTGCACTTGCAATATGTCGCTGATAAATTACCGCACAGGCTTGTCCCGGTTCACTGTTCCAGAGCACCATGGTTTTGAGCTGCGGTATCTTCAGCGCAATTGAACTGGCGTTTCGCAACAGTGTATAAACATTTTTATGAGGAGCTGTCCGGGCCAGTGTGGATGATGTGAGTGTCAGCGACTGCAGGAGATTCCAGGCACATGGCAGCTGCTGGCATGAGGTGAAAAACTGCTGGGCGTCGATCATGTATGAAATAGAAAGGTGCTCCAGATGGTCACTATTGGCGGCAAACGCTTTGGCTAGCTCGAGATCTACAGCCGAGGTAGTTTCGATATCTCGGCCTAAATGTGGCGTAGCGTTATTTAGTACCAGTGCAAGTTGGTTGTTGAAGTCCTTGAAGATAGATACTCTTTTGACGTGTTTTGGAATACTACGCTGGACTAAGGAGGCTAGTTCTATCAAGATGTCAGAAGGAAATTAAATACGTTAAAAACGTGTTTGATATGGGGGGGGGGGGTTCGTTGATTTTACGCCAAATATCCAATACAAAATAATCTCAACAGAACAGGTAAATCCCCTCTACTTGTATAAACACAAAAGCTTATAAGAAAATATGATATAGGGTTAAACGTACCATATGCACATGCAATCTGGTAGTGGTGTGGCCGGGCACGCCACAGCTCGTAGACTATACTTTCTAGCCGAGGGAGTTTCTCCCACAAGGCCTTTAGTACTTCGGGAAAAAGCTCATGTCGAAGTTGCCGACGTATGCAGAAGCTTGTAACGGCATGAACGACAGGGAGAGTTCGGGGGGCGTTCAAATAGAGCGGAGAGAAGAGGCGCAAAATAGCGGGCCGATCGGGAGTTTTAACCTGCTGACCATCAACCCAGCCGTGCTTTGGGTCGCGCCATCTAATAGCTTTCTCCTGTTGGGTCCAGTCTCTTGTGTCTTCATGTCCGGGTCCAAAATAGTAGTTCTTGAACCAATGTCGTGAATCACTCGGTGAAGATGCGCTCAGCTCGAGTGTCACCCGACCTGTAGGCTGCCAGGTACTCAGGATAGAAAAGAGCCTTAGGATAGCCATCCTAAAAATGGTAGACCTACGATTGGACATGGTGGCGCTTTGTGTACAAGTGCGACAGGTGTATCGAGGAAGGTCGATATTGAGACAGATGTGCTGGACAAGAGGCCTTTGTCGGACAACGAGGGTTTCCAGTTCGTCTAGACAGGATGGCTGCAATGCTAGTTGGGAGAAATTCTTGGGTTCAAGAATGGCCTGCCATTCTTTGCAGACGGCTGCGCACTGAGCCCAGCCACGATGTTTCTGGCCCGAGATTTCATCGAGGATCAAAAGGCGGATATCTGCAGGCAACGAGAGCCAGGGAAAGGCGATGTGATTGTTTCTCTTAGTCATTTTTGAGATGGAAGCTTCTTTAGCATTAATTATGGCAGTAGGAAAGGAAAGTATTCTGGGAAAAGTAATTGTTTCTGTAGCTATCTCGTCGGTGGGGAGAGAAGCGTAGCACGGGCTGCTGAGAGACGCTATCTGAGCTGGGGTGTTGACGAGAGAGGTGTATATGGTGTATGAGGTCGCGCTGGCTGCGAAGGAGTTGTATGAGATATATTGTGCGCAGTAGCTTATATTCTCGATCTAGTACTAGAGTGTGAGTCATTGGTTGAACCTCTCCATAGGTTTCTATAGTTGAGGTCCATTTCCATGGTTGAGATCTATTTCCCTGGTTGGCTATTACAAAGTCGTTGAGTCAAAGCAGAACCAAAGTATTTAGCAAGAAAAAAAAACCCCCCACTCAAAGTAAACCACAAAGTTTCGCGATAAGAGCTCATCTATGAGTTGAGGCACAACAATTAGATCTGGGAAAAGTATACTCGCCCGCGCCAAGAACCCACCATCGGCGCCCAGGCATGCCGGCACAGATAACGTGTCCCACGCAATACTATCGTAAAAATTTGCCAACTTTTCCAACCGCTAGCAGTGGACTGGAGCCTCACTTGCCCAAGTATCAAAATTTGTCACACTCTGCTCTAATAATTGTAGTGTACGTTTTGTCGTTACAAAGCTCACGTATAGCCATTGTGCATAGTCACTATCCTTAGCTTGAAATATGATAGTTGACTGTCTCAAGCGGCTTGTAGGAAGTTTAAGTCAAGGAAAAGTATTACTAAACTAGGTACGAAAATGGGATCAGTCTTATGATTTCCGCACCCCTGTGAGTTGTTTGAGCCCCAAATCAGGCCTTGCTCAAGCTGCTCAAGGACATAATCAGGCACAATTACGGTGGCTTATGGCGAGCTTAGTGCTCCTTAGCCACGGCTCAAATTGCTTACTCATAGCTCACGTTACACGCTTGTGTAACTTACGTCTCAAAACAGAAGTGGATTTTGTGTAAGGTCACTTTGTCCCTATATATCTTCCATTATAGTAAGGGGTTATACTTATCTATTGCTAGCAAGTTATTTTTACTACTCTCACATAAGTAAGACAAAGAAAGGGGAAGGGGGTTTAGGTCCATTTTCGGGCCCCCAAGCCTAAGCAGTCTAATAATAGGAATGTAGTTTCAAATATTCAAGGAAGGGATTATACATAATCTAAAGAATAAGCTTAGCAGTAAAAATTACAGGTCACGTAAGCAGTTGAACAAAGTCGATGTTGTCACAAGTATAGGTTGAGTTTGCATCAACAAAGCAAACAAAGCTGAGCTCTCACACGCTATCAAGTCTATGTTTCTCTGGTATCGCAACGCGGCTCGATGCTACGTCTACATGTCAGATGTCTCCAGTCCCCTCCCTGAGACCAGCAAAGAAGCGACTCCACCGCCCTGGGTATCAGACTTCCAGAAAAGTAGGTGGCTCACCCGCGGTTGGACGCTCCAGGAGCTCCTTGCCCCAGGCACTGTCGAATTCTTTTCTCGGGAACGGAGGAAGCTTGGCGACAAATTATCACTCGCACAGCAAGTACACGAAATCACAGGCATTCCGCATTTTGCGCTGCAAGGCGCCTCTTTGTCTCAATTTACTGTCGATGAGTGACTGTCGTGGAAAGAGCACCGGCACACAAAACTTCAAGAAGATGGGGCATACTCATTACTCGGCATTTTCGACGTCTACATAGCACCTGTCTATGGCGAAGGGGCAGAGGGAGCGTTCAGACGGCTCTTAGATGAGATTCAAAAGCTAGGCAGGTGTATCCAAGACATTCGCCTTACAGATCCGCGCGACGACAAGAAGCGCATTGAGGACACTAAGGGCGGCCTGCTAGAAGGCTCGTATCGCTGGGTCCTTAGTAGTGCCAGCTTCCAGCAATGGAACGAAGACCCCCAGAACCGACTGCTACGGATTACAGGTGATCCTGGCAAGGGCAAGACGATGCTTCTCTGTGGCATCATTGAAGAGTTGAAGAAATCAACCCCTGGCCTTCTCTCCTTTTTCTTCTGTGAAGGTACCGACTCGCGCATCAACAGTGCTACTGCCGTGCTGCGCGGCCTAATCTACCTGCTCGTCAACCAGCAGCCGTTGTTAGCCCAACACCTGCGGAAGAAGTACGATCAAGCAGGTCAATCCGTCTTCAAAGACGCTAATGCTTAGGTTGCTTTATCAGACATCTTTATAAATATAATACAAGATCTAGACCTGAAAATAACCTGCCTAGTTGTTAACGCCCTTAATGAATGCTTAGCAGACCTACTAAAGCTCTTAGACCTAATTATTCATACCTTAGCATTATTAGCCCGCGTTAAGTGGCTCTTATTAAGTTAGAACGAGATACATATTAAACAGAAGCTGAGGTGTGTTTCTTGCATGAGCTGAGGAGGGGACATATGGCAAACGACTCGACAAGGGAGCGAGATCCAAACAAGGTGGAATGAGTGTATTGTAAGGTCTGAGGAGCTCGATAGAGCTCTGAGCTGACTATATACTGTACGAGAGAGGAGCTATGCCTAATGAGTGAATAGTGCAGTACATGGGTATGATATCGCGTGAGACACGTGCGACAGTGTTGACGCTAATACAAAGTTAAGTCTAGAGTTAGAGCAAAATGCAAAGCTAGTGTCCTGCGCGGTTAATGTGTACATTAATAACAAGCTGTCCTATCTTAATTTGCCTAAAGATGACAGCCTAAGAGATTAAGTGTCAGACATCCTACGCCAGAAGGCGAACAGTATGTTCCTGTGGGTCTCCCTCGTAGTCTAAGAGCTTAAGGGACTAGAGAGCTAGGACCTTTTGCAGGTAGTAAAAGAAGCGCCACTAGGTTTGCATTAGCTGTACAATTACATAATGGATTAAATCTAGCGGCTAAAGGAGAGAAATTTAGAAATTTGCTAGATTCTGCTTTCTACTGCTTACTTTGCATACCGCCCGCTTTACCTAGTTGAAATAGGCAGCTTGTGCGGACTATTTAGCCAGGTTTCTGTACTTGCGAGGAATGTGAGAAGGATTGTGGCTATATGTAGTTTGTTTCTCACTGTTAGGGATAATCAGGTCTACTTTATCTACTAATTAGCCAAGGACTACTTAACTAACAGGATGCAAGATACACTCTTCCCACCTTAGGGCAGGATTCACTATAATATGTTCTCCTGGTTGCTTAAACTCATGTCTAGTACACTAAAACGTAACATGTACGGCTTAAGCGCTCACAGGTGTCTGGTTAATAAGGTTTAAGTACTAGTTGACAATCCGCTAGCAACAATATGATACTCATGCGTTTATTAGGTTAACCACCTCTATGACTAGAATTCTGCAAGCTCTAAAATTAACTCTTAATACAAATCCACTATTAAGGATTTTATAAAAAAGAAATATCTCTACTAGCTTAAGGCTCTGAGCATTTGTAGAAGCATGTTAGAGGGTGTACTTGCAATAGAGAAACTCTACGCTCTAGCCTAAGTAAGTACTAAAGTAACGTTCTATATAATATATGCTAATATAACCTAGACAGGAGCAGACACACCTAGCTTCATAAAATTTCTTCAAGATGCACGCCTGTTTATCATGCACCACATTTAGGTAATACAGCTTAGTCCTCTTCAAGCATACACACCTGCACTTATATTTAGTCTAGACTGCAGCCTTATTAAGAGTTATTTTAAAGAAGAAGAACTAAAGTGGATCTTAATAAAGCCAGCTATAAGAGATTATGGAGTGCCTGCCTGTTGACGCTCAAGGGCCATAGGGATTCGGTCCATTCGGTGGCCTTCTCCCACGACTCGGCCCGGCTAGCGTCGGCGTCGGGCGACGGGACGGTCAAGATCTGGGACGCGAGCAGCGGGGAGTGCCTGTCGACGCTCGAGAGCTATAGGGTTTCCGTCCGGTCGGTGGCCTTCTCCCATGACTCGGCCCGGCTTGCGTCGGCGTCGAGCGACGGGACGGTCAAGATCTGGGACACGAGCAGCCGCGAGTGCCTGTCGAAACTCAAGGGCCATACGGATTCGGTCCATTCGGTGGCCTTCTCCCACGACTCGGCCTGGCTGGCGTCGGCATCGGCCGACAGGACGGTCAAGATCTGGGACGCGAGCAGCGGGGAGTGCCTGTCGACGTTTGGGGGCCATAGGCGTTCGGTCCATTCGGTAGCCTTCTCCCATGACTCAGCCCGGTTGGCGTCAGCATCGGGCGACGCGATGGTCAAGATCTGGGACGTGAGCAGCCGCGAGTGTATGTCAACGCTCCAGGGCCATAGGGGTTGGGTCTATTCGGTAAGCTTCTCCCACGACTCGGCCCGGCTGGCATCGGCGTCGGGCGACGGGACGGTCAAGATCTGGGACGTGAGCAGCGGGGAGTGCCCGTCGACGCTCAAGGGCCATAGTGGCTGGGTCCATTCAGTGGCCTTCTCCCACGGCTCGGCCCGGCTGGCGTCGGCGTCGGACGACAGGGCGGTCAAGGTCTGGGACGCGAGCAGCGGCGAGCGCCTGTCGACGCTTGAGGGCCATAGGGGTCGCGTCCGGTCGTTGACCTTCTCCCACGACTCGGCCCGGCTGGCGTCAGCCGACAGGACGGTCAAGATCTGGGACGTGAGCACCGGCAAGTGCCTGTCGACACTCGAGGGC